TAAAAGTGGGCAGATGTCAACATTCTGATTTCTTTCAGATACATTTATGATGGCAGCGATACATGCCACTAAATAGAGTCCGGTCTATGAATATTTCCCCGATGATACCATTTTGTATTCTAGTCCTTTCACTTTTTTCTAGTAGATAATCAGGATGTTGTTTAGGGTAGTCGCTGCAATCATTCCGATCATTTTAAATTGGAAAAGATCAAAAAATACAATACCACTCATACCTTCTGCAAGAAAAGGCGTGATTTCACATGAAAAGCGTCTCAAACGTCGCATCGTCATAATTTTCAATGAATATTTGTTAAATTGAAAAGTGGTGTTAGACTAAGCTCGTCCAGGAATTTTAAGGTCTGCCACACCACAGTAACATTCGAGATGTACGGTGAGTACGGCAAGAAGTCAACATCGCGGGTCCATCTGAAACTTCGCGTGATGGTACTGTACAATCTCCCCTGAAAGTTTGAGACAGATTTTTTTAATGTTGACTTCCTACCGTATCTACCGTACACCTTATGTTAGTGTAGTGTGGCATGCCTTAAATTCGCCTTGACGAGTTGAGTGAACATCGTTTTTCTTTTTGAAAAAATATCTATGTTGAAAGAAAATATGACTGACGCTTCGCGACGGATTTTACAGAAAATTGCGCCTTTTTGTAGATGTTATAAAACAGAAGAAGTGGAACATATGATGTATGTAACACGCTATGTTAACTGGGATCAATTTTAGGGTGATACAGTACTTTAAAATAGAAATGTATTTTCACACATCCGGTTTCGGGGCTAAGAACTAGACCGGTATTGCGACTTCCTTGGTGCCCCCGGGTTATGTACCCTTTCATCAGTATGAGCGTTATTGTAAATTGATGTGTGAACAGTTAATGACAAGCGTTCTACGTTTTACTTTTTGCATTTTTTGTTTCATCAGTGAGTGATTAACATCACCAACTAATTGAGTCCTATTAGAGTTTTTTGAATCCATGTTTAACACATTGAGGAACACGAAGTAGGGGTATCACTCTATCTTAGTTTTTGGTTGGATGTGTCTGGAAACCTTCGTCCACATTGTTTCGAACATGTTGATTCCGACTAATACAACAACATTGTGAATTTCTTTTTGAAAATATAGGTAAGCGCACCTTAGACTGTTATGTTCTCAGAGTAGTTGCATGTGGGCTATTTTGTATGCTGAATTCGTACTATATTATTTACAACATTTAGTTGCTGACCTCTCCTAGGTCATACCGCGTTACGGCAGCCTTACCATAAGAAGGGAGGACAAAGCAAAATTTGTTTTCCTTCGCGGTGAAAAATCTTTACAAGAAAGTCATTTCCGGAAGTTCTGAGAAGATAACCCTTCAAAGTGTACTTATAGCCATAATAATAAATAAGCGTAATGTTCTATAGCTATACAAGATTCAAGGTGTCCGTTAATAGGCAAACGATTTTGGTTACCATGCACAGCTAGAAAATTTGTTAGAAAAAGGTAACATTACAGTACCCCAGTACTCCAATGGTATTCAACTGGAATTCAA